ATTGCTAAAATAAAGGACACTGGTGGTTTCCTAGGAGTTTTAAAAATTCTACTTTGTTTACTTGATAAAATGGGGAAGGAAGGCATAGGTGACGCATAGGATGGGCTCGGGTGTGGGGCATGTGCCCCCCCGAGATTGGCTGCCGGCAGCTTCTGCAGGCGGTTGCCGTTGCCCCCCCACTTGCTGCCAACGCAGCTGGTGACATCTGAAGGTGGTCCCTGCTCGCTGCCATGAATGCCAGTGGCTGCAGGTGGTCCCCACTCACTGCCATGGTGCCCCCCACCCCCGAGTCTCAGGAGGCACCAGTCGTTCATGAAGGAAGGGATAGGAATTGTACCAAGAAAGCAAATACCTGTTTGGTAAAAAATAAAGCAGTATTCTTCTGCTAATAGCCTTGTTGGCAATTTCAGTACACAGATCATAGAGTAAAAATCTGAGTTACGATATATTGATACCATGTCAAATCAGAAATTGCTGAACTCTTGCCTGTAGTATGCAGCCTATCGTTAAAAACAGCCTTATTACCAGAGGACTGCAGGGTTACCAATGTGACTCCCATATTATAAAAGGCTCCAGATGGGAGCCAAGTAACTACACACCAGTTAGTAACTTCTCTTCTTGGAAAATTAGTAGAAGCAATAATAAAAGAAATAAATGAATGAATTGTTGACACATGGATGAACATGAGTTGCTGGGGAGGAATCAACATGGCATTCTTTCAAAGGGAAATCATGTGTAGCCAACCTACTAGAGTTTTTTTTTCTTTTTTTACTGAAGCTGTCAATAAGCAGGCAGATCAGAGTGATTCATCTGACAATGCAATCTGGATTTCTGAAAACCCTTAGACTTAAACAGGTTTCCCCATCAGAGGCTTTTAACAAATTTAGGTAGTCTTGGGATTACAGGGAAGGTCAATTCGTGGATTACACATTGTTTTTTTTAAAGGCAGAAAACAGAATGAGTATAAATGGTCAGTTTTCAAGATGAAAAAAGCAAACAGAGGGGTCCCCCAGGGATTTTTGTTGAAACCAGTGCTGCTTAACATATTCATAAATGATCTGGAAAACGGTGAGTAGCGAGATGGCCAAAATGGTGGAGGACACAATTCTTCTAAATGGCAAAGACCAAGTCAGATTGTGAGAAACTACAGAAGGATCTGGCACTATTGAGCAAATAGGAAGCTAAATGGCAGATGAAACTCAATGTAGATAAATGCAATGTGATACATATGAGCAAAAATAACCCAGATGATACTTACACTATAATAGGCTCTACATTTAGCTGTTACCACACAGGGAAGAGATTTGAAAGTCATTGTGGACAGTTTGCTAAAAACAGCAGCTCAATGCTTAGCAGCCACCATAAAGATAAACTACACGTGAGGAATTATTAAGAAGAGATGTGTAAACAAAACAGAAAGTATCACTATGCCCCTGTGTAAGTCTATTATGCATTCGCATATGAATAGTGTGCCAGTTTTGGTCCCTACACCTCAGAAAGGTTATAGGCAGACTAGAGAAGATACAGAGAAAGGTAGCACAAAGATGATTAATGGTATGGAGGAGTTCCATATGAGGAGAAGCTAAAGAAAAAAGATGCTTGAGTGGGGGGACATAATAATGAAGATAAAGTAAATAGGGATTTATTTACCATCTCTTTCAAAACAAAAACTAGGGATCATAAAATGAAACTAGTACTCTGTAAGTTTAAAAGTAACAGAAAGTTCTTTCACACAGTGGGGGCATCTACATGTTCATTAATGCACTTTTGTTAATGCACGTTAAACTTAGAACCGCCATTGTGAGGTACTAGAAAAAGGCGCATTAGTGAAAGTGCACAGGTTTTTTTATAATGCTTTAATGCGCATTAAAATAGGCTAATGCACATTAAAGCACATGTGTAGATGCGCCCTGTGTATAATTAAAGTGTGGAAGTCATTACCACAAGATGCTATAGAAGCTGATTGTTTAGCCTATTCACAAAGGGATTGGACAAATTCTTGGAGGAAAGGGGCATTAGTAGCTATTGATCATGGGAGTTAGGGGTCTGGCCTCTGAATCAAAACTTCCTAGACCTTGAATCCTGGAGACTGCAAGTAAGGGAGGAGCAGTGGAAAAAAACCCTGGTCATATCCAGTTCACCTTCTCTTTCAACTCTCTACCATCATGTGACACAGGCTTATTTGATGCATTGGGCTTAATGCCCACAGAACAATGGTTAACCTCCTCTTCCCCCATGTTGTTAGAGGAGGCTACTGGGTTGCATCAACTGAGTTTGCGGACAACTGAAGAGAAAAACAGGGATGGGAGTGAGGTTACAGGTTTAAAACAAGAGCTCCAAAGGAGGGCACCAAGCAGAGTATGTTGGACAGTGCCCACTGGCCCTTGAACAAGTTCACGGACTCTGCCCAGGGAAACTTCCTGGAGACGTGAACAGAGCAGAGACAGGAAAATGGGCCTGCAGGCCCCAGGGGCCCTTCTGACCAGAAACTCCTTCCTGGTCAGGGATATATACTGACCAACTTGAAAGTATGGTCTGGCCCAGTAAATGGCAGTCCTTGTGTTCTTATGTTCTTATTTTCTTGCATTCTTTATGCACCTTTGCCCCCCAAAAATCGGACCCTCAAAATTCAGGTGTGTGCATTAAGTAGGAAAGCTGATTTTCTGCCCAAGATGGAAGCAATTTGCTATGATCTCTGCTCCATTTGGCAGCAGCTCTGGTATTACTATTTAGGCAACTAAGTTAGTTGACTTAATGGCCCATTGTTCTTCACTCTAGAAATGTTAACAATAGTCTCTCCTTTTTACTGGCCTTGATGTTCCACTAATCAAACAATTAGTGTGGCCTTAGTATCTGCTAGGGTTCCTGGTCTCTTCTTTTTCACAGATCTTTTCAGAATCATAGTTGCATCCATGAAGACCAATCTTCAACAGTGGCCAGTGTTTTAGTGCAGCAGGAAAGGGAGAACAAGTCAGCTGAAGATTAGGCTCTGTCCCTGCTCTCTGCAGCCATAAGTTTGGAAAATATTTTTTTCTTTATTCTGCCTTTCAAAAACAAGTTGCATTATTATATTCAGAGGCATGTTAGATGAGAGAAAATATGGCATGTTTTCTTTCTGTAGATCACATTTCAGGTGGGGAATGTTAGAATAAGGAAACATTTAATCAGGCCATGAATCAAATATTTTCACTGGCTTTAGATTTAAATATTCACTATATATATTATATTTATATAGTGAATGAATGAATTAGTGTGTGTGTGTGTGTGTGTGTGTGTGTGTGTGTGTGTGTGTGTGTGTGTGTGTGTGTGTATATTTCAGCCTCCACTGTAAATCTGGCCTCTGAGCTTTGACCCAAGCCATTATTTTACCAGGTAAATGCAGTTTTTGCTATATAGCATATCCAGGTGTTTCTCATTATTGCATTTATGAATGATCTTCCATTCATCTGCATCTCTTACTTTTTTTGTTTCCATGTCAGAGTTTGGCAGATGGAACAAAGTTACACCTTCAGGCCCTTGTGCCTTCAATTATTTTAATTCTTTTAAACTAAAATTGGGTGTTTTAAATAGTTGGCAGCAGTCTGTTAAAAAGAGAGATGACTGTCTTGGCTTGCACAGTCCAAAATGATTCAATCAACAGCTTAAAGCCTAGAGAGAGAAAAAAACCTTGTTTATTTCAAGTCACAAATTCAAAGAGGATGTAACTTTTTTTCCCCCAAACATTATTTAACAAGAAACTTCTTGGATGTCTTCAGTGTAAAAGTTTTGTTGTCATCTGAAAGGAAACAGGTGAGAGATTCTGTCACCATACAGAGGCAGGTCCCAGTATGTAAGTGGCAATGCCTTTCATCTGATGAGACAACAGTGGGGAGTCTAGATAGCGGCTCACACTGGCTTAGTGTTTTAGTGATAATACCTTCCCCCCAAAATCCTGGCTTTAAACAATATATGTTTTTTTTTGTTGCTGGGGAAAATTTGTTTTACATCATTCTAGTCCATGTAGGGATGAGAGATGATGTATTTTAACCCTTACAGGATTTTTTTGGTGGGAGGGCTGAAGGGGTTGAATCTTGATGTGTGTAGATGTTAAAGGAAATTGAAAACAGATTTAATATCCATGTAGGTTTTGAACTTCAGATAAAGGAAAAGATTTTTTTTGTTGTAGTGACACTTCTGAAGCTAGCTACTTATAAATATTAGTTTCCTAGAAATCCTAAGAGGTTCATGTTTGTTCTGTGTTTTTTCTTTTTTTCCCTGAACAGGCCAAATCATATGATGCTATAGACAGCAGGGAGGCTTGTACTTTCTTCTTAAGCTAATCGCTGCTTTCCTGTAATTAGGAATGGGAATCGTAAGGTCTCAACAGCAGCTTGTATACCTGAATTTCTCTTTCAGTTTATCTAGATATTAGTATTGTTTAACTCAAAACATCATTTTAAAATTAAGCCAATAGAAGCACCTGTTGTAATTTTATATTCTGTACTTCTAGCCCAAAATGGAAAACTGGAAGCTATCTTATCCCTTGGTATTTGCATACTTGATATTTTTGTTGAATCAAAAAACTGCAACTATAGGGCCTGATCCAAAGCATGTTGAAGACATTAATGGGAAGGCTGTTGCCTCCCTTTTAGACTATTGTCATCACAGAAAAAGACTGCCATTGACTTTAAAGGTCTCTGGATCAGACCCATAATGAAATTACACTTAATTATAAATATGAAGAGGTGGGTCCTGTTTCCCTTAGTGATACAGAGTAATGCCTAACTCTGATTTCATTTTCATCAGTGAGACAATCTGTGGAAGAAGTGTCACAGAGTATGAAAGTAAATTTTGTCATTCTGCTGTGAGCATGGAGAAAAGAACTTCAAATCCACAAGTATTGCTCTCGACTTTGGCAGGACTTTTTGAGAAATAAAGAGCTAGTAATGAGGCCCTTTATGTTCTTTACTATTCACTGCAGTTTTGTGTGGTAATTGTATGTTGTCTTGTCTGATCCACAGCTGCTGCTGTTCCTTAAAGCCTTTTCTGAAACAGAGCAGACAAAGTTGGCAATGCTCACTGGGATCCTGCTAGCCAATGGAACACTTCCTGCCACTATTTTAACAAGTCTTTTCACTGACAACATAGTCAAAGAAGGTAACTGTTTTGTTTCTTTACTTGTCTTTTTGAGCTTAGCTTTCATAATAGTAGCGTATTTTAAACTTTGGCATCCTGGAAACAGTACAACAGAAGGTAACTCTTAGAGTGCAGACAGACATAACATTTGAACTGTTTCAAGAAAGGATACCTGAAACCAGTGACAAGGTCAGGGGTGTTCCCACGTTCACGGCTAAGGGTTCTAAGAAGTAGAACTGTCACCTTTCAGGCATAGTAGTGCTCTCAAACCACCACCGGAGGGTGGCAGTGAGTACCCAGCCCAATGGCAGTTTTCTGCTCTTCTCCCCCTTCTCACTAACATTAAGTTCAGTAAAGACCAGCTCCTGTACTTTAGAGAAAATCTTTTGGTGGTTCCTTGACCAGGAGTGTGCACTATGTACTCTAGAGCTGCTGGAGTTTTCATAGCTTTTATAGAGCACTCCTCCTCCACCCCCAAGCCACTAATCAGTTTACTTCAATTGCTGGAAATACCAGGGTCTGGTGCATCTCAGGATGTTTTAGGGGTGTGAGGGGTGCCTGGATGTTTGCTTTTGTGTGCCTTGGGACTGGGGGCTTAGAGAACTGCTCTCTGCTGCTTTTATAGGGCTAGTCTGTCTTCTTCCATGGATGGCAGTCTTTCCCCAGTACCCAGATACATAAAAGCAGTAGCCCATGAAGCCACCTGGCCCTGGCCAGGCACACTGCAGTCAGCTGTGGACAAGAGGTTGCAACGGTTGCAATGGTTCTGGCACCGTACAGGGTAACTAGTTGGTGTGCAAGAGTTGGGGGTTGAGCGGGGAAGGGAGGGGACAGGATGGTGAGGAGCAGTGTAGCGTGGCAATGCATTCATGGAAAGCTTGGTGTTTCAAATAACACTGAAATGGAGCAGGAGGTTTAAACCATTTTAAACTGGCTTATATATCTGGATGCTTACAGTTTTAAATGGTCTAACACTGTTTGTCTGTCCACACCATAATCAGAAAGATACTGAAATAGGCTATCCAAAAATTCCCAGTGAAATTTAGTCATCGGTGTGGGTGAGGAATCAGAAGGGAGTAAAAGGCCAAAGAAAATGCAACTAAATTAAAGAAAGCATGTGGATTGGACCCACAACATATTATAAATTAGTTAAATTATTATTAAACTAGCTGGATTATTAGGAGATATTGCTCTGGAATTTCCAAAGCACAAAATATAATATCTATTCCTGAGCTATATACTGTACTGTTTTCCAAAACTGTCAGGACTTAATGGTGTACAATTAATCTATTCCGGAACATAGGAGTCATTGCAATTATTAATGTTATACCAAACATTTATCCCAGTTGATTGCATACGTTTGTCTCATATAGAAAAGGTCATATTCAACCCTTGTCACTTGTGTTCACGTAACTCAAAAGAAGACAGCAAAGATGCCATTTTTGTCAGGTCAGAATTATGCAACTAAGAACAAAAATTAGTGCAGTTAGAGCAAGGACTCTAGATCGGGGCAGGCAATTATTTTGGGTGGAGGGTCGCTTACTGAGTTTTGGCAAGCCATCGAGGGCCGCATGACAGGCAGCCTGGGGCAGATAAATATTAATTTTCTAAATTTTTAGGGGCCCTGCGGGGTGTATAGAATGGCCTGATGGGCTGCATCCAGCCCACAGGCTGCATTTTGCCCAACCCTGCTCTAGATTTTTTTTAATACTTAAATAATGAATACTTTGTTAAAATTAACAAAGAGAAGAGGTTGGTTTGCTTTTACTGATTCAAGTCACTTTCAGAGGATTAGATATGCTCTGTGGTAGTCTGTTTCTCTGAATCTTTGAAAAATACCATCCATCTTCTCATTTGAAAACTGAATATAAAATTTGTATGCTTATTAATTTCTAATCATAGCTACTTTTTTAGCTTCTGTATTAAGCAGGAGTGCATAAAATAGCTTAACAGCACATCCTTGTGCAACAGCTTTTTCAAGCAAGAAGTATTAATCAGGTTGTCACTGAAGTTGTTAAATTGTTTTAAACGATTAATTTGTAACAACATCAAGGTATTATTAACCAAGTTTTATATTTTAATTTCTGCCATGGATGAATTGGATCCATCTTGGGCTATCTAAAAATTGTGGAGAGTGCCTTGGTGAATACAACAGAGTACATAAGAGGAGAATCTCTCCTTCGTATGGTGGTTTGGGGTTGGGTTTTTTGGTTTTTTGATTTTTGTTTTGCATCAGGGTAACTGAAAATATGTGTTATTTGATTCAAATAAAACCCCTGAAATAAACAGGCAGCATTAGTATTAAAAAAAAAAAGACTTATCTGCACGTGAAAGGTATACTGTACCAATACCAGTCAATTGTTTGTTGCATCTGTGCAGTACGCCTGTGCTTGAAGTTTCCACTGGTACATCTTTTCTGGTGCAAAAAGCCTCTGATGTTGATAAGATGTAGATTTCTGATATTCAGAAGGAAGCCAAGGCATGTGCAGGGATATTTCTTCCTCTTTTGAAAAAAGAAGCAGAGGACTATGTAATTGAAAGTTCTGTGTTTTGTGACAACTAGAACTATCAGGGCTACTTTTTGCCTCTAATAAAGTTGAATGTGATCAATCTTTTTTGTACATAGATTTTTGGTGTCACTCTAGTTCTCCTGTCTTTGAAGAAATAAAACTTTGCATAGGATCATAAAGAATACCTCAGTCTTATATCTTTTTTAAAATGCAAATTTATTCCATCCCACATATGTTCAAAATGCTACAAAATATTTAGCCAAGTGATATACATGTGACTGGTCTCATACAGACATTCAGTTTCTCCTGGGAGAGTTGCTGCCAGAAGAAGCCACGAGTGTACAGATATTCAGGCTTTTTCTCCCATGGTAAAAATAGTCACTCCAGGAGAAAAATTAACCTGGGAACAACCAAAATTAAATCACTCCCAGTAGAGTTTCTTCTGGAAGAGAGTATGTCTGTATATCTTATGGCTTGTCTCAGAAGAGAACATAGTCATCCAGCACTCCCTCTTCCCTTCCAAGGAAACAGTGTGTCCCTTGCTCCAGCAAAGAGCAGAACATGCCCTCTTCACAATTCCCACATTTGTGCTGCAGGGAAACACAGGCTGACCATGGGTAGTCTGGGTCAGCCAATTAGAGCTGTTGCCTAGCAGACTAAGGAAGCCTGCAAAGCATGCTGAGATGCTTCCCCGCCCCATCTGCATAGTATCAGCACTGCAAGCTCTCCATTCTTTGGCGCACAGCATTAGAATGTCTGTACACATGGCTCTGGGTAAGTTTCATTACTAGGAGAAGAAACCTGGGACAAATCTCCCAGACTATTTGAATGTGTGTGTGTGTGCAGCCTATATCTACAATAGCCTCTTTACTAAGAGCAATATGACATCTTTGCTATTTTCCAAGTGTGTACAAAATCACTCTATTCCCATCACCAGTTCAAGCTTTCTGGTTCTTTAAGTTGTTATAGTTGATGTGGCTCTCATGCCCCTTTTCCTCCTTTTCCAAGTGCTCAGTGACTCAAGGGCTTTGAATTCCAAGGGACCTTGGGCTGAGTCATAGCTGCTCCTTCAGCCCTTATGCTTTCACATGGCAGCATGAGAATGCGCAGGGCACATGTGTACTCCCAATGGACAGGAACATTCAGGAAAAAACAAACAAACCTCTCAAACAAGACAAGACTTTATATGAGGTATGTGCGCATACAATGTAGTCTACACTGATGGTATGTGTTCCAGAATCAGGGCAATTATTCAGGGCAATTTCATGGTGTATTGAAATACTTTTCCTGCTTTAAAGACTTGGCAGCTTTCCAAATGCTTTTCTTAAAAGTTTCTTTTACTGTAAATATGTACTGCCTCCCCACCCCTCCACTCCCAACCCAAGCCTTTCTTGGCAATGTAATACTTTTTTTTTTTTTTAAATCTTTTAAGATTCTATGTTCACTGTGGTGCCTTTAACTGTATATACAAGTTCTTAGTAGACCACATTTTCATTTGCTGTATGCTAACAATCATTACATTTGTTTTCTAAATGCCACAGCTGTAGCTCTTGCTCTTTCATCACCCACAGCTTTCACAATGTGAATAAAACTAGAAGGAAATCCAAACAAAAGCTTTAATCCATGTTTTAGGGTAATGACCTGTACTGTTCTTTTAAAATGACAGCCTGGTTTAGTTACAAGAGCACAGGAGGCAACTGAGAAATTAAGCTTAGGACTTTTTTTTTAAACTTCAACCAGGTTAGTTAAACATCAAATTAATATTTAGAGACAATGTTTGCACTTGTACCTTTAGAGCAAATGAATTTGCTCTGTGAAACCATATTTCCTGTGTGTGAATTTTTTGATAGAATTATTTGGTTCTTGTCTAATATTTGCCAAAAAATTATCTGTGCCAGTGCTGAAGGGTGCTGCAGGTAATTAAAGACCCATTAATCTAACTTCAATAGTATGTACAATTTAAAACATATTTTGAAGGAAAGAATAATTGGAATGGAAGTAAATGGAAAATGAAATAAAATGCCATATGGGTTTAACAAAGGTTAGTGCTAGATCTTGGATTTTTTCTTTCCTAACCTGGGTGCCCTGGCACCCTGTGGTGCCTTGATCTCTTCATGGTGCTGTGGAGTGTTAGCACTGTTTGGTTTGCAAACATGAGTCACAAGATAAAACCCAAAGATTTCATATAGAAATGCACAGAACTCTTTTTGAGTTCTTTGCAACAGAACTGCTCTGTTTTTTCTATAGTTAAAAAGAGTGAAAACGAAGAACTGGCATTCTCCAAGGGGTGCCTCGAGTCTAAGAAGGTAGAGAGCCATTGTGCTAAGTTCACCAGACAGCTTTTTATTTCCCTTGCTTAGTGCAAGAGTGTGTTTGTCCTTTTTTCTTTTAAGAGAAGAGGTTAAGACAGGAGTGTGGGTGTAGGTATGGGCGTGGTTGAGGAGTGGGGTGTGTGGGACTTCTGTGTGTGTGTGGGTATGGTACAGGTGGGGTGTGTTTAGAGTACATACATGGATTTATGGTTGCGGTGTGGGGTGTGTGGGACTTGGATGTGTGTGTGGGTGAGGGGGTGGGCATGTGGGTGCATGTGTGGGGAGGTGTAGGGGTGTGCATGCGGGGTGTGGGATGTGTGTAGGGGAGTGGGGGGTGTATCTGGGGTGTGGGTATGGTGAGGGTCAGGGTGTATGTGTGGGATGTGTATGGTAGGGTGTGTGGGACAGCATTGGGTGTGTGTGTGGGTATAGAGGGGGGCGGGGTATATGAGGGAGTGTGGATGTGTGTGTGAGGTGTGGGTGGGTTGGGTGTGCATGTGTGGGGGCTTCCCTCCTGCCTGCTCTTTGCGATGTGGCTGAGCCCAGCCCCTCCACAGGTGGGGGAAGGGGATTGGTGCTGACTTCCTGGCTCACAGCAGCGCTGCAAAGGGCAAGAAAGCAGCTGCTGCTGCTGCCAGCAGCAAGAGAATCCCCTGTGAGAGGGGAGGGTGGCAGGGAGCTGAGCCTGGTATCACCATCTCTCTTAGTCTCTGTCCCAAACCTGCCCGGCAGGGCTCCAGCCGAGCCTGCACTGGCTTCTGCTGCTGTTGCTTCTCTCTCACCTGCCTGCTTGGCGGGGCTGCATCAAGTGCATGCTGGCTCCTGCTGCTGTTCCTCCCCTCCTGTCTGTCCCTGCCTACATGGCAGGGTTTTGTGAGCAGCCAAGCTCCTTCATGCCTCCCCCCACACGCTCATCTGCTCAGCACAAGCAGGACCAGAGTGAGCTGCAGGCAGAGCCCATCCTATTCCCTTCAATGCTGCAGCTTCCCCTCCCTGCCTGCTGGCTGGATCGCTGTAGCAGGGACAGGAGAAGTTGCTGGAGGCTGAGGGAACCCAGCACTTTGCTAGGCAGTGGCAGCAGCAGGAGCCCTGCTCAGAAGCTGTGCCTGCTGGTGGGGGAGGATGGGAGTGCAGCACACTCTGCTTCCAGCAGGACTCAGCCCCAGGCAGAGCGCAGCCAGATACAATTACTTAGTGGGAGCCTGCCTGTGGGCCAGATCCAATCAGCTGGTGGACTAAACCAGGCTTCTGGGCTGTATTTTGCCCACCCCTGAGCTAAAGAGCAGATGGAAATGGAGCATGCTGAAAGGAGAATTAACCAGTTTGAGTGAAGTTACTAAGTGAAGAGTGAAGTAATAAAGTTAATCAAGGATTAGTTGTGGGGCTACTCTTCCTTTAGTATTTTCATGTAATGACCAAGCATAAAAGGTCTGCTAAGAAAATTTATGTTTAAAGTACAGTTGGAAGACCTCACCAATATGGATGGTGATTAGACCATCTGTAACCATATTTATGGCCATCCTGTCCCTGGAGCCCCATCAGCCCTTGTCAACGTGCTCTCTCTTTAGGTAATCTTGCCTGTCCTTGTCTGCCACACCTTAATGTTGTTACCTTATAGTAAAAGGGTGGCTGCCCCCAGGGCTATCTAAGCCTGATCTCAACACTCCTGAGCTCAGGTGTCTCTACTCTCTGCCTTATAGGCTAATTACGTGGGCTCCATCTTCCCCATGTCAATGCATTGGATGAGTCTCATTTTCTCTCCGTTGTTCCTAACACCCCTCAGGCTACAGCCTCCTGGGCTCTGCTGACAGGCACCGCTCCAGTCCTTGCCCCTCCTTAGCTATGGGCTCCCTGGCCGTGCTGACACTTGCCCCTCCTGGATTCAACTCTCCCTTTGGGCACCAGGCCCTCTACCATGTGTTCCCAGGCCTCTTTACTCTCAGGCCTGTTGGGATCTCCCTCTCCCCTTAGTTCCTTCCTCAAGTCTCAAGAGTTGCTTACCCCAGCTTGGATGTTACCCGAAAGTCCTGCTGCAGTTCTGCTTCCCAAGAGCAACTCTCTCCATGGCTCTCAGAGATAGACTGCCTCACTAGCTTGGGTATAATTCAAGCCCAGCTCCCTTCTGGTCGGGTGGGTCTTTCATTGGTTCCTGCCACACCTGCGGGATGTTTCTCATGCTGCCTGCCTTCTCTAAGTAGCAGGAGCATCAAGCCTTCTGCTATAACATCATAGGAATAAGTGGATGATCTTGAGGGCTAAGGTAATTAAAATGGGATGAGTGGTCATAGTACAAAACACAGGGTCATGCACAGGAGGGCTAATAGGAAGAGAATACGAAGTCTTGCTCATCAGTTGGAAATGACAGGAGGAAGGCTGAAGTGTGTTAGTCTATCATAGAATTACTATGAGCCACCAATGTGATGCAGCTGTGGGGAATAAAACAAATGTAATTCTAGCATGTAATAGATGAGGTATTTCTAGTAGAGAGGGGCATGCCAAAGCCATTCTGCAAGGCATTGGCAAGATGTCATGTGGAATATTGAATGAGGTTCCGCTCACCTATATTCCAGAACTGAAATGATTTAAAAATGAAAAGAGGGCAGATGGAGGGTGGTTACCAAGATGGCTGGGAAAATTGAGTCTGTCTTACGAGAGGGAGCTAAAAGAGTTTGGCTTGTTTACCTGAACACAAGAAGTCTCAAAGAGAAATGTGATTACAGTTTATGAATACATCAAGGAGTATGCTATGGAGAGAAGAGCTATTTAGGATAAATGACAATGCATACAGGTGAACAAATGGATATAAACTGGCCATGAATAAATTTAAGGTTGAAATTTAGAACATTTATACACATTGGAAGGGCAAGGTTTTGAAACTGCCTTCCCATAAGCGTAATAGGGACAAAAAACCCAACGTGGACCTTGTTTGGCTTAAAAGATATAAACTTGTGACACAGTTGTAGGAAACTGGACTTGATAGTGGCTCTGAAGTTCCCTTCTAATACTCTGTGTTGCATGTTCCTGTGGGTTGGATAGCTTAGTTATCCTGGCTTTTGGTTGCTTTTTTGCAGCCGATCAGCTATTTTACTTTTGCACTCTTATGGTCTGTTCCACAGAAGGAAGGGCTATATAATCTAACTAACTGTTGTGAGGAATCGTACATGTTTAGTAGAAAAGATCTATTTAAAGCAAAACACTGATGTTTATCTGTGCTGTCATGCATTGAAATATTATAGTAACAATCATCATAGTAACAAAAAAGGAATGTTTTCGTCATGAGGGTACCAAAGTATCAGAGACAGTGCACGGCTTGGAACTAAGCAGTTTAATAAACTGCATATAATTGAAGTAGATTTATAATTTGGTTACAAGTTTTTACAGATAGAAATTACAGATGTGAATTGTTAGTTTAAAATCCTGTTAGAGACAACTCTATCACTGCTGAATAGTGACACTAACCTTTCAGTTGTGTAACTTTGTCATGTTCACTTTTAAACTTGGAGCCTTACACATAAGTAGAAAAGAAAGAAAAGCAAAATTTCTGGGTCTGATTCTGAATTGAATTCATTATTCGCAATTCCATTTAACAATTTCTGCAAGTTCACACCTATATTTTGGTTGTTATTAAATTAGGTTGGAAAACCTAACAAAGCACATTTGTTGGAAATCTAGAAAATATAATTCATTTCCCTCTGGGATTAAAGTTTATCTATAACTGCTCACATAAACAAAAAACTTAAAACAAATGTTTGTGTGTGATTTTTTTTCCTTTGTAGTGAATAAACTATATTTTCTGGAGTAGAGAACATAAGTATATGTAAATTAGCAAAGAATAATTAAGTCTCACTTATTGACTTCCCAGTTGTGTCCTATTTAGATTTTAAAGGTTTGGGCTATTTTGAAATGAGAGAGAAAAAGATGAGGCATTGGATACTCTACTGGCTCGCAAAATTATTAAAATGAGATCTAGGAACTGCAGTTTTGGACTGAGACTGCTAAGAGCTGTTCAGCAATAAGCTATAAAGTAATATTTCACTTGCAATTAATCACTAACTTCAGCTAATTCTAGAGCAGTAGGTTTGTTGACCTTAACTTTGGAGCCTTATCCTACAAGTTTCTTATTACTACTGTGAAGTGCTCGTTACCTACACTTGCCACTGACAGTGGAAGGTGGTTTGCCCCTTACCATGATCAGGCCTTTGATAAAATATTATTCAGAACTCCTTTAAAAGGCACTTTTTGATCCTGGTTGTAGTTGTTATAGGCAATGCTCAGTGTAAATCAGGTTTTGTGAAAGGGAAAATGTCATAATTCCATGGTTTTAAATAAACCATGTAAGAGATTTATATAATGGCGATCAAATTTTCTTTGTTTTGTTTAATTTATCTTTCATGTTTTTAGAAAGACAGGTAAATTTGTCCTTAAACCTATCTTATTTTGCTTTAATCAGAATTAATTATTTTTTCTTAAGTTGACAAGGTTGGTGGGGGGAGGAGTAGGAATGATGGAAATGACCAAATCCCCTCTTCCCCCCCCCCCCCCCCCCCCTCCCCCCCTGGGGAGAATTTCAGTAGTTAAATACAAATGGGGAGAACAGGATTTTTAAGGTGATTTGAGCATAGCTAAATGTCAGTGTAAAAAGTGTCAGAACACAATCTAGTGTGTTTAAGAAAAAATACTTGTAACTAATTCATATCAAAAGCTGCTGGAGAGTGTATACAGGGGTTCTTGATCATATTTGTTTTTCTTTTCTTGAATAGGGATTGCAGCATCTTTTGCAGTAAAGCTTTTTAAAGCATGGATGGCAGAGAAAGATGCCAATTCAGTTACCTCTGCTTTAAGAAAAGCCAACCTAGACAAGAGATTGCTTGTAAGTGCCATATGTTTTCTGTTAGTTTCTGTTGTCTGCTTATGGAAAAGGAGAGAGAATGTATGTGCTAGCTTGTCAAATGTGTGTTACCACCCACTCATACTCACTTTTTTTTTTTTAATATTTTGAATCATGGCAAAGTTAAAGCTATTCTACCTGTACCAGTGCTAGAGTATCAAATTCCATTAACTTTTATTTTATTGACCATAACTTTTATTTCCTCAGACATTCTAGCAGTCTGAGGAATTTGGTTTCAGAACCTCTAGGATAAATTGACTTTATTGTCCACTGCAGCCCTACTAATAGTGATCGACTAACTAACTAGTCACAGTGCATTTGGCATGTTCACTTCCTTTATTGAGATAGGTGGGTAGTTTCATGAACTTGAGTGAACATAGAGTAGTTTGTGTACTCAGTGCATTTCTGAAAACGAATTACAACTCTGCAACTTCACACATTCTATTTTAATTTGTGTAGAACTTAATAACAAATGAGTCTTTTGGTAGAATAAATGAACCTATAATACTGATTGCAGAACGCTAGGGGCAATGTGTTTTAAGGTTGGCCTTGTGGTTCGAGCCTGTATTCTGGGTTCCTAGCAGTATTCTGAATTATTCATTCAGCAAGGTGGGCCCATGGGATGGAATAGTAGATTGCATTTCATCTAATGCTCCTGGTTTCTTGCGTTTTCCCAAAGACTTCATTGAATTTATAGGCTGTAAAGCTATAAGGTCCACTGTAATCATCTACTCTGACTTCCTGTGTAGTAGTAGCCAGAAATGTTCACCTAGTAACTTGTGTTTTTAGCCAAGTAGTGTAAGGTTAAATTAGAATGCATCTTCTTAAATGGACATCTGGCTTTGATTTAAGGAGTCCAAGTGAAAAATAATTTACCACATCCCTGGGCAATCTGCTTGAGTTAATTGTCCTCACTGTTAAAATACGTCTTAATGCCAGTTGAATTTTGTTGATTTTTTTTTTTTTTTTAAGCTGTTGGATCTTGCACTCTTATTTGCTAAATTAAAGAGCCTTATAGTACTGGGTCATCTTTCCCAGTATGCATACTAACAGACTATGTCCAGTCTCCTCTTAACCTTCTCTTCAAGTAATAGCTTAAGCTGTTTCATTGTGCTTGTTAGGCCTGTCATCCAGAGCATGAATCACTGTTTTAGACAGAAATTGGGAATTAAAGTGTATTAGGTCATTTGGTCCTTGCCAGTCTGAGGTGTTAGTTGTAGTAACCTTTCTGCACCCCCCCCCCCCCCCCCCCCCCTGCATTAACTATTTC